AACCTGAAAGCGCTTTTAAATAAATATTTAACAACCACATAGGGATAGAGAAGATTTCTGACTTGAAGATTGTACATGCCATTGATTAGAGAGAGAATTATTGTAATATGCACAGAAGTTCAACCTTAAATAATACGTGACAAGAATACATTGGATGGTTAACAAACAGAAATTAAATTGTTTTATTCCTCTTTTTATATGATGAAGAAATAAAACTATTTTCCAGATCCATGAACTACATCTATCAACTTCATTGGGTGCCGTAGGAATTGGAAGTAAACAAGTGGAAAGCGATGCTGTCGGTAATTGATCCAAATGCCATAGCAGCCTCCGGTAAGATACAGCATATAGCCACTTTCTGAACATACCTTTAAAAGCAAAATTACTCTTTGGCACCAGGCGAAAGATTTCTATAGTTATAATTTTTTTAAGTGACAGGTACCAATATAGGAAGTCCTCTGGCCTATTGGTGAACCTCTATACTTCCTTAAGGGACCAGAGGCTCGGGCATTTGGAACCTAAAGCAAAATAATTAGGCACACTTTCCCTAAATTTCATTAGATTTCGATGATTTAATCAAAACTAGATTTTCATCCGATCTCAAGATATCACAGATATTTCAATATATGAGGAGAGAGGCCTATAATTTGTTTGCATTGAAGCACACAAATTAACAGAGATATGTTTGACAGGAGTAGGAAAAAAAATATTATAGAGTAAAATATTAGTAGTCATAGAAGATTTACCTTTGGAAGATTTCCTCATCAGTGAAATTGTCACTAGAAGAAAGCTTGTTTAAATCACAGAACCCATCAATTTTTATGTTATCCTCAGTTGTACAAACTGCAGCTTCATGTGAAACACCTTTGGAACCAGGGCTACTTTCTTCATACCTCCTCTGACCAAACAGCCAATTTGGGCTTCTGAGTTGAATTTCACTGCATAAAAGTCAGTTTAATTCACCGCCGCTTTGATAACTGTTCCAAGAATTTACTAAGTTTAACTAGCCCGTATGCAATGCTATCTCATAATTTAATAGAAAAAGATCTGAATTGATAAATGATACCAACTCAAAGGTACAATATATTAAAGTTCTTTAAATGTGCCACTTCTCCTGATCTAGCACCTCAATGAACAAGAGAGATTAAAGAGACCATTCAAGATTAATGAGAAAATTACGCTGCATCGGGTGCCATGCTGGAATTTCCTGTACTACCTCCAGGTTTCTGATCAGGCTCACACCAAATCCTTACATTCTTTATTGAACCACAGGTACGTTCAATCAATTTATTAAATGATGTCAACTTCATCCTAGAAAAATCTTCTCTGCATGCTGGTATAGGTTCAAGCGTTATTGCTGTTCCGCCAAAAGAATTGGAGGCAGCTTCCAAACTGCAAAGTAAGAATTAAGAAGGAACTAAATAAGACTGGCAACAATTATAAGCTATTAAGTTTACAAAACTTGGTGGATGGAAAATATGAATGAATTCCTTGCAATTATTCAATAATTTGTCAGCTGTAACTGTAACACGAAAAGCAGAAACAAACACAAAAAATGTATTCTACGGAAATGCCCAAGCCCACTTTTGGCATAGTCATGATTGATGTAACTTCTATACGAATTTCATGGAGAGAAATTGTACCAATCAAATTTCTTGCAGCTCATTATATGGTAACTCAAAAGCTGTTTCGAACCAAGGTCAATCCCTTTATACCAAAATAACAGTCAGAATATAAGATCTGTAACACTAACTAATAACAGAATGCTATAAACCTAATAGCCGATACATCTGAACTAGACTGAAACGCAAAAATACTATGTGCATAGCATGTTGTACACATATCAATGATTCCGTGGAACTGCATGAATAAGTGTTTAGACAAGGACCACAAGGTGCCAATACAATTGAAAGCTGCATAACATTATGCCTAGGATGTATAGTCAAGACTGCTAACACTATACCTCTTATCGGGAAAAAGATCATCTCCAAGCCCTGATACATGAAGGTAATAATCAGAATCCAGTTCCCACAAAGCAGGTTTGCCTTCTTGTGGTTGAAAGTAACCTAAAAATCTGGCAATACATGTGTAAGAAGTTAAAAAAAGAAAAGTAAAAACAAAACTTTATTCCCTACATAGTGAAAGAATAAACTTGAGAAAAGAGTATGAAAAACTCAGAAAGTATGTCCTGTCTGAAAGTGAAGTGTATTCATAGATAAGACCCCATGAACATACAAATTTATCGCATCTTGTTTTTCACCATCAGTGCAAGTATTGCGATAATAACGTTTGATAGATTTGATAAACTCTCTAGATTGGGTGGTAGCTTTCCATTTTCCCTGCCTTTCTGGAAACACCTAATTTGTGGACAAGAATTTGTTAACAAGGATCTAGAGTTGTGTCAAATATCAATATATTTATATGAACTTAGATCTATGCACGTATAAGTACAGTGTTGTGAGCAGCGGAGCCACCATATTGTTGAGCAAGTGCATCCCCCATGCTCTGATACATATCCATAAGAGCTGCAGCAATGCTACTATCAGGATCCACTTTAGGCATATTTGTCAAACCCATTGCATGGAGTTGGCGGCCTAAAGCTGCAAGACCATAAGCATATTGTGCAACATTTGTTCGATCTAAACAATCAATGCAGTTTGTACGTAGAACTCCACTCTGAAAGCGTGATGCTTCACTACTACGGCTGTTTATTTTATCATACTGATTAGATGCAGCCTCTCTCTCTCGACTAATAACAATGCTTATCGTTTCAGTATTGCTCCCAATTCTAGCAAGATCCCCTGAACTAGCCCTCAAATCTCCAAGGGCACCATCCCTGTTAAAGAACATGTATACACACATACCTATCTAAGATTCTTGAGTACAAACGAACTTTAAATGACCAAAAAAAAAAAAAAAAAAAAAAAA